TTAAAATAAACTAAAAAGTAAAATAGACAAATTAATCAAAAGGAAAGGAGTATTGAAAATAACAAATACAAGTACAATAAGTGGATGAACTACGTATTCGTGAAGGGGCGGCTTTACAAGCTTAAAAAATGGGCAGCTAACTTAAACCTTCTAATTCGAGTGTCTATTTTTTTTTTAATTAAATCAATAATATATTATAAATATTTTCTTTAAAAATATATTAAGTATTATTTGCAGAAAACATTATTCCTTATTATCTTTGCTTAGTTCACTATACTTTTTTTTATGAAGTCTTTTAAATATTCAATTATAACGTTAGGCATTTTAAAGCCTTATTCGCATGTAGTGTTTACCCAAAATTGAAAAATAGATGACGAATACTTCAATTATCACTCTTGTTATTAAATTATAATTAATTTATGTTGAGATTTTAAAGATGGGAATAGAAATAGAGAAAAATACTTTTTGAACTGCATCAAAAAGAGGGCACTTTCAAGACAGAGAAATATCGAAATTGAACTATTTCTCTATTCTCTGCATTTATTTTCAAAACAAAAATATAATTGAGTCATGTATTTTGTACCGCTATTTGTAATTTGAGTTTGCTCAAGTTCTATAAAATTAAAGTACTGATTACCGAATAGATTTTCATTCTATTTTACTACTCAAATAAAAAGAGGTAACAATTTACATATCTTCTTAATTTATAATATAATTTAATATAAATATGATAAATCTTTACCACCAAAGTGTGTAGCATTGCAGAAAATATTCTGGAAAAAATTATCTAAATTCACATTTTATTTTATCATAATCTCTAAAATTTTCTATTATTTTTTTTTTCTTCAAAAATCTCCTGTAGGATACATCACTCCCCTTTTGTTGATACATCCTTTCCTCCTCTCGGTTCTCCTTTGTGTAACCAGATATACTATCCTCTTTTTGACACATCCCTCCCCTATGTATTCGGAAGTCCGATGATGTATTCAAAGTTCATATATTTTTAAGAAAAAAATATTTTTGTAATTTGAAAAAAAGCAAGAAAAAAATGTAATTAACTCATGATACTATGAAATTTATGTAACTTATATTATTATTATTATTATTGGAGCAGCGTGGTGGGGGATGGGGTCCAATGGGCGGTGAGGCGGCCTATTTTGGACCACCCAATGGCATGACAGTGCGCCAGCTCAACGTTACTGACCTTAAGATTCTATTTGGGCCCCTTTTTATACCCATCAACAATTGCTGACAGGATATCATCTCATTTATTCCTAATCCTTAGTCCAAATCAAATTAAATATTTCATTGACTCCCCATTTTTATTTTATTAATCTATGAAATTTGAGAAACAACTCTTACACTTGCAATGCTTTAAAATTATAATAAAAATTGCTATTACCCTAGTAGTTTAAGATGGTGTATAGTCAGGGGCGGACCCACGTGGTCTCTAAGAGGCAGGGGCGGCTCAACGTAATTGGGGACCTAAAGCGAAATTTCAATTCGCGGCCTAAAATATAAATAAGCTTTATATACGTATTTATTCAAAAATTAATTTTCTTATACTATTTAGATGAAAATTATTAGTATTTAATAGTATATATTATTTTTTCAGTTACTAGTTTTAGATAAGATTTTATCAACTCAACATTGGAAAACATCATTTAAGTGAGGCAATTACTATATGTATTGTTAACATAATGCTATAAGTGATGAGTTGATAAATATTAAATAAAGATAAGAGTTAGAACCATAGAATTTGACTCAAAAAGTTGATGACTTGGTATACCTCATTTTAATATGCTTGAAACTAAAATTTAAAAAGAAATAAAAAAGAATTTGTAATTCACTTTGTTCAACACTTTTCACTATTAATTCTTATTTTTAACATAATACAAAAAATGTTAAAGTGGATAAAATAATTTATTTTAAAAAAAATTACACTTTTTATCATAAATAATCATTTTTCTATAAAAATTTTAGCACATAATTTATTCTTGATAAAAATTTGGGGCCCCCGAAATTTGGGGGCCCAAGGCAAAGGCCTTATTTTCCAAACCACAGAGCCGGCCCTGCTAAGAGGGTTTACCCGAATTTTCTCGATAAAAAATTATGTTATAATTATAAGCTAAATATTTTGAATTTATATAGATATAATAATTTTGAATCCCCTCATGAACAAGAAGTAAGTTGCAGCGTAGTGGTAGATCTCCTTCAAATTGGCACTGCGTCTAGGGTTTGAATCCCCCCATTGTTGTCATTTTTTCTGTTTTTATTTTTTTATTTTAAAAAGAGTAGATTTAAACCCAAAAAAATTCAAAAGTGCTAAAAGGTTTCTACTAACGGAACTAATTTTTTTTTTGTACTTATAAACTATATACTAGTACTTCCTTGAAATTGTATTTTATTGGCTTATTCATATGTTTATATTTTTATTTTTCGAACCCCTAAATGAAATTCCTGAATTCGCCACTGTATATAGTATTAGTTACGATTACAATAAAATCTAGTAATAGATATTGTTCAAAGTGTTAAAGAAATCTACTATAGTATAAGTTTCAAATTAGTAACTCAATGATTATTGGGTTCAGTATCTTGAAACCATCTCATGGCTAGCATGGGCAAATTTAGAGTATCGTCTACAAATTCACGTTATCAATCAAATACTAATTTTTATCCAGATCCTATATATGTATTGAAAATTCCACTAAATAACTATAAATATTTGATAACAAATTAAATTCAATTACAACTATAGTAAAATCTTTCACAAATGAGATATGAAAAAAATGATGTGTACGTAGTATTTCCCTTACCTTGACTTGAGAGTGCTATATGAATCGTTAAACTTCAAATTCAGAATCCGACTATGATCGGTAAAACGGAAGTTCAAAAGTAGAAAGAAACAAGAAGAAGTCGTATCAAGCAGCAAGTGGGAACCGTCCATCCAAAATTGATGAATGATGAGGACACCTTCGTGGCCTACTGAACGCGACACTTAGGCACTAATATTTTTTTCTTAATTTATTTATATACTTTGGATATATGGCTGCCTATTTTTAGGTAGGGGCTGTGGGACATTCTGGTTTTCATCTTCTTCTATGATAAGTGTTTGTTGATTGTTATTTTGGTATGGTATGATTAATTAACAAATCTATGCATTTTGAGTTCTATCAAGAGATATAAAGTTTGAACTAAAATTACGACCAAACTTATACAACTTTGGTGTGCGAGTTCTATCGAAGCCCTCCTTGTCAGAAATTCCGTAACGTTAAATCCACAATATAATATATCAATAAGACATGACTACCTGAATCAGTTAATTGTAGCACTCAATAAGCCGTGACAAAAATGTAACTCACTACTTATTAAATGCAATCAAATTTTAATTTATTTATACAAAGTACATATTTTTTTAATAACAATTACCGATTTTTTTACAATATACAAGTTACAATAGTCTCACACGAAAAATTAACTAATCTTAATTTTCTATTATTACTGTATAATCAGTGTAAAATGTTAAGACCCTATAATATAATGATCTTTTTTTTTTGTCCTTGTAATACATTATTGCAGGAAGAAAATAGTTGAAATATTGCTATTTGCTTACAACTTTATATCCAAACCTAAAGGGCGGCAAAAAAAGACAAACCATCTATTATCTTGGATTGATTGGGACAACTCTTTGTTTTAAAACCAAATTACTCTCCCACCAGCTCTACACATGCATGATGCATCCTCTTATAATTCATTGATCCTAGTCATATTTTTTGAACTTTATTATCAATAATCTTATATTTTATCATAAAAAACAGTTTTTCCACGTCGATTAGTGACATGGAACATGGGACTTTCCACTTCCTACATCTCATCAACCTGCTCTTTTGATTATTTTTTTTGGTACAGTCTCGAAATTTTCGCTAAGAAAATTCAAATATGAAATTGAGAAAGATTCAACACTTAATGTAATTTTCTATCGAATTGGGTTCGAACTCTCTTGCTCCTGATTATTGTTTACCCAGTCATCAGTAAATTATTGTTGCTTTTTGACTTGAACTGTATACTAAAATTGCACCTATCAATGAAACTTTACATCTGTTGATTTAAATATCCTTCTCTTTCCTTTCCCTTTGTGCCCATCTCATGGTTTATTGTAAAGTTATTGACTATTTTTATCACATGACACAGGTTTCCCTTTAATTTACCTTAAGACCAGGAGGAAAATATAATTTGACCTTTTTTTACCTATGTTGACATCTTTTTTTTACCTTTAGAAATGACTGTTTAGTTTCTTTCTCTTTCTTTTACCCTCCGTTACCTGTATCATTTACCTTTTCGATTCCATATTTGTATTGGGTGATTGAGATCAACAGACTCACTTGATACATCACAGTTTTAGGCTCAAATACAACTACATCTCAGTCTCAAGCAAGTTGAAACCGGCTATATAAATCCTCTTTGTTTACGTCGCTCCATTTGAGCTCTTAGTCCAAAATTATCTCACTAAAATAATGGTCAAACAGATTATAGGATCACTAGTAAAATGCATTAAAATTCAAGCCAAAGTTGTCCAAGATCAAGTAAATCAATAAAACCAATTTGTAGGAAAATTCAAGCCAACAACACCTATCTAAAGATTGTTAGGAAGGCATGTTACTCTCCTTCAAATAAAATTTTAACCTAGGTTGGTTCGAAAATGTCAACGAATGCATGTCGGATCTCCAAAAGTAGTGTATTTTTGGAGAATCAGACATGGGTGCGGCATTGAAAGTGAAGAGTCTGCGCAACTTAGTTTATAACCACCCTGGGATCAAGTAAAAGTATAATCTTCTGGCAATATCTCCTTGTCAGCAGCACAATCCCTACAGTCATAACAAACAATTATGTGGCTGTTTGATGACTAAAGCTACACTAGAGGGGCATGTGACTACTCATCATTCAAAAGGACCAGGCATCTATGTCCAACTCACTATATTAGTAGAATTAACAAGTGGAATTTGTCATTTTCTGTCTACTTTAACAACATGGTCATCAGTTAATTATTATATAACTATTGTAATTCTGCATTGGCATATATAGAGAATCTCTACTTAAAGTTATGAGATTTGTCAGTCGAGTTCAATTGTACAACACACACTCTGATAGTCTTTAGCGAGTGGAAAAGAAAACGTAACACAGCAGTTCTGCGATCAGCTTATGAGAAATGGAATATGACGCTGAAATACCAGAGAACAAAAGTGTAAGTTAACTCATTTATTTTTACTTTATGTGAGCATGATACTTCTTCATTTTGCGTGTTTCATCATTTCATTAGCTGCAGCAGTAATTTCTATAGCTAATTGTAGTAGTCAAGCTTGCTTTCATGTATATGAAAAAACTTCAAAAGAAGCAACGGCTTGATCAGAGATCATACCTCAAACAACTGTGTGAAGAGAGATGTGTTCATTTGTTCCATAAAGATCGGTCAGGAATACAGTGTTCCTAAGAAGTACAAATACATGTTACATACTAGATTAAGTATTAGTACGCCACTGAAGTATGCGTTAATGAAATAACTTCACCAGATCACTGCCAATTTTCTTCAAAGCGCAAAGGTTGTCACTAAAGAACCGAATCAAGGTTACCATCTTCATGTAAAGATTATTTCATGCAATCTTTGATGACAAAAGAAAATTTGTTTCGGTTTTGCTTATCACTTATAGAAGTTTCCTAGTTTCAGGAACTTGTATGTTATTTCTACAAATTAGTAGATATTCAACTGAATCAAATTGTTTATTCTACAATAAACTCGATCCTTCTTGAATTGGCTAATTGAAGAGCATCCTGACTACCACGGCTGAATGTTCATATAAAGTTCCAGGAAAACTTTGCCTTACCTGAGATTCCTTCTTGATATAGTCCCGTATAACAGTTGATCTTCTTCTTAGGTAATAACAACTTGACTTCTATATATGTTTTTGGAGGTAATATGACCTAAAAGAAATAGCACAGAAATAAATCAGCACAATTATTAATCCTCAACTGCTCATGAAATAATGTAATACTGAAAACTTGACTCTCTCCAAAAGACTATAGTTATTGATAAAACGAAAACCTCTTTGAATTAGCACAGAAACAAATCAATAAAATCTGATTTTTAAAACTCTTCTTAAATAAATTAGTATTGAAAAACTTGACTCTCCCCAAAAAGACTTGTTCCTCATTTTAATTGTGTGAGACAAACTTGTAGTTAGCCTTGGAAGGCAAACTGTTCCACTCAGGTACTTATATGGAGAAGTTATGGATATACATTTCAAATCAATCCTCTCATGGTTTAGAAACACTTGAGAAAAATGTTAGAGGTAATTGGTTTATCATGACTGTTTGACACCAACACTTATAAATTCTCTATACGACTTGTTTGTCAAATCAACCTAATCTAGAAACATGCTACTGGTAATTAATGTGTATATTCTCAGAAGTTAAAAGAATTAAGCCCCCAGCTGACGGACTAATCTGTATTTACCCAACTGAAAACTCCAAATTTATCTTTCTTTAGAAGCCACAAACAAATCACTTGTACATGCAACAAACAGTATCTCACCAGTTTTTCACAAACTTAGTAGGTTTATGACTACTTCAAATATTGTAGGTAGAAGTCCTCCTGCATTCTTTTCTATTGTTTCGTACTGCAGTCTCTTTCGCCAATGATAAATATCTCATACATAATACGAAGAGTAAATAGGTCCTGAGAAGGTCCTATATGTAGGGAGTTGGGACCTTTTAAGGCTTTGACCACTAAGCTAGGGTTAGTAACTCCATTTCAATGATAAAAAAGGGATCTTGCTAATGTTATACAGTTCCAATAGGGCAGGATTAGTCTGACAAATTTCATGTTGTAACTTTAGTGCTGCTCTGCCAATGTTGGATAACTTAAAACACATTTCTTCTTAATTCTGTTACAACATAGCAAACATCATTCTTTATGCAGATAAAGGAAGAGAATTTGCTAGGGGAAGTGTACACAATATCAGACAAACTGAAGTTGGAGAAAGACAAAAGGGACCAATCACTATCTGAGTTTGAAGAAACTTCAGAGGTTGAAAATGTTAAGGATCTGATTAAAGGTAATTATGGAACCACTGAGGGTGAAAATTTTTATGCATCACCCTTAGTTTCCAAAGCTGTCGAAGAAAATGGTAGTTCAGTGGAAGTCCATGTATCAGTCGATACACCAAACAAGTCAGATGAACAGATGCCCGGGACTTCATTCCATCTGGGGGAGAAAGCAGAAGACAAAAGAGTAGAAATCATTTCTGCGGGAACACAGAATCCAAGTGAAGAGAGTGAAACATCATGTGAAATGAGCAATGTTGAGAAGAACACATCTATCCCCTTGACAGTCCGAGGAGATGTTAGCTCTGCAAAATATAAAACGGAAGAGACAGACGCTGACGCAATCAAATCACCTGGCGACACTAAGGATGAGAAAGCAGTCAAAGATGCAAATGACTACAATGGCGATAGAAATATTTTCATATCCCCCAAATCAGAGTGCCAAAGAGGAGAGGACGAGAAAAAAGAGACAGGAGATGGAGAGGGTGCTAGGAATGTGCTTGTTAACTCATTTGTTGATGTTGTAGAAGAAACCAGGTCAGATTATGCTGAATCAGATACGAGTGCGAAACATGGGGACAACTCAATCGAGAAGGGAAACCAAGATGTTGCTGACCATCCAGCAGTAGAGGAAAAAACTGAAGAACTAGAAGTTGAAGAAAAACATGAAAAACCAATTATTGAAGAGAAAACTAAAGAACCAATAGTTACGGAGAAACATGCAGAACCAGCGGTTGAAGAAAAACCTGAAGAACCAGCAGTTGAAGTAAAAACTGAAGAACCAGTTGTGCAAGAGAAACCTGAAGAAACAGAGGTTCAGGAGAAATTTGAAAAAACAGAGGTTGAAGAGAAGCCCGAAGAACTAGTGGTTGAAGAAACATCAAAAGAACCAACACGAGAAAAAACATCCGAAGAGTTAGAATTTGAAGAAAAACCTGAGAAGGTAACTTTCTTGGAAAAGGTGAGGACCAAGCACTGGCACAAAGTTTATCCATTGTATTAGTTATGTATGTGTAACAGTTCACATTTGCTTATCTACTGAAAGACTAACTGAAACTTCAAATTTTTCTTGCAGAAAATACAAGTTGTAGACTCAAACGACAAAAGTGAGAATGAACTTCCATGCAATACCAACAATGATGCTGCTAACTTTGCAGAATTTGAGGAACCAGCAGTTGAAGAAAAACCTGAAAAACTAGAGAAACCTGATTTACCAATGGTTAGGGAGAAACGTGAAGAACCAAAGGTTGAGGAAAAATCTGAAGAATCATTTGAGGAGAAAACTCGAAAACCAGAGGCTGGAGAGAAACCTGAAGAACCAACAGCTAAAGAAACACCTGAAGAACTAGCAGAGGAGGAAATGCCTGAAGAGCTAGCCCTTGAAGAGAAACCTAGAGAACCAACCGTTGAAGAGACACTTGAAGAACTAGATGTTGAAGAGAAAGCTGAAAAGAAAGCAATTGAAGAGGAGAAACCTGAAACGGAAGCTCTTCAGGAGAATGTGAGGATTAAACACTTTCACAAAGTTTATCCATCATATTAGCTTTATATGCGTAACGAATTTACATCTGTTTTATCCATTGAAAGACTAAATGAAACTTCAATTTATTTATTTTTGCAGAATTCACCAATTGAAAAGTCAAAGAACAAGACAGACAATGCAATTCAATGCATTACCAACAATGCTATTGCCGATTATGAATCAGTTGAGGAAAAAACTGAAGAACCAGCAATTGAAGAGAGATCTGAAGAGTCAGTGGTTATGAAAAAACCTGAACAACCAGCAGTTGAAGAGAAATCTGAAAAACCAGTAGCAAGAGAGGAACTTGAAGAACCATCGATTGAGGAGACACTAGAAGAACCAGCAGTTGAAGATAAACCTGAAAAACCAGTAACTGAAGAAGCACCTGAAGAACCAACACAGGAAGAAACACCAAATGAACAAGCATTTGAAGAGAAACCTGAAAACCCAATAACTGAAGAAACACCTGAAGAACCAACACAGGAACAAAATGAACTAGCATTTGAAGAGAAACCAGCAGTTGAAGAGGAGAAACCCAAAAAAGTATCTCTTTTGGAAAAGGTGAGGGTCAAGTATTATCAAGAAGTTTATCCATCCTATTAGTTATGTATGTCCAACAATTCATGTCTGGTTATCTCTTGAAAGACTAAGAGAAACTTTAAATTCTTCTTGCAGAAAATGCTAGTTGTAGACTCTAAGGACAACACTGATAGTGAAATTCCATGCAATACCAACAACGATGCTGCTCACTATCCAAAAACTGAGAAAATAACCGAAGAACCAGCAGTTGAAGAAAAACCAGAAAACCCAGTTTTTGAAGAGAAACGTGATGTATCAGAGATTAAAGAGAAACCTGAAGAACCAACGGTTGAGGAGAAACCTGAAGAACCAGCGGCTGAAAAGAAACCTAAGGAACCGACAGCGAAAGAAACACATGAAGAGCTAGCAGGGGAGGAAACACATGAAGAACTAGCATTTGAAGAGAAACCTGAAGAACCAATGGTTGAAGACATACCTGAAAAACCAGCAGTAATGGAGGAGGAGAAACCTTTAACAGAAGGGCTTCTGGAGAAGGTGAAGATTAAACACTACCACAAAGTCTATCCATCATATTAGCTTTATATGTGCAATGAATTTACATCTGTTTATCTGTCAAAAGACTAAGTGAAACTTCAATTTTCTTGCAGAATTTGCCAATTGTAGACTCAAAGGACAAGATAGACGATGCAATTCCATGCAATACCACCAATAATGATATTGCTAACTATGCATCAGTTGAGGAAAAACCTAACGAACCAGTAGTTGGAAAAACACATGAAGAATTAGCAATTGAAGATAAATCTGAAGAATCAGTTGTTTCGGAGAAGCTTGAAGAACTAGTGGTTGAGAAAAAAACTGAACAACCGACAGTTGAAGAGAAACCTGAAAAACCAGCAGTTGGAGAGAAACATGAAGAACCAGCCGTTGAAGAGGAGAAACCTGAAAAAGTAAGGGTCAAGCACTATCACAAAGTTTAAGTCATGTATGTACTGTGATTCACATCTGCTTCTTTATTGGAAGGCAAAGTAAACATTCACTTCATTTTGCAGACTATGCTAATTGTAGACTTGAACGACAAAACTGGTAGTGAAATTCCATGCAATACCGGTAATGATGTTGCTCACTTTCCAGACATTGAGGAAAATCCTGAAGTGTCGGCAGTTGAAGAAAAAACTGAAGAATCAGTCATTGAACAGAAACCTGATGTACCAGCAGTTAAGGAGAAACCTGAAGAACCAACATTTGAGGAGAAATCTGAAGTACTGGTTGAGGAGAAACCTCAAGAACCGGCGTCTAAAGAGAGACCTGAAGAAGCGGCAGCTAAAGAAACAGCTGAAGAGCTAGCAAAGGAGGAAGCACCTGAAGAACTAGCACTTGAAGAGACACCTGAAGAACTAGTTCTTGAAGAGAAAGATGAAGAAACAGCTATTGAAGAGGAGGAACTTGTTAGGAAAGCTCTTCAGGAGAAGGTGAGGATTAAATACTGTCACAAAGTTAATCCACCATATAAGCTTTATATGTGCAACGAATTAATATATGTTTATCTATTTAAAGACAAAATGAAACTTTAAATTTTCTTGCAGAAATTGCCGATTGTAAACGCAGAGGACAATACAGACAATGCAATTCCATGCAATACCAACAATGACATTGCTAACTATGCATTAGTTGAGGAAAAAACTGAAGAACCAGTAGTTGAAGAGAAATCTGAAGAATCAGCTATTGAAGAGAAGTCTGAAGAATCAAGGGTTTTGGAGAAACCAGAAGAACCAGAGGTTGAGAAAATACCTAAACAGCCGACAATTGAAGAGAAACCTGAAAACCCAACAGTTGGAGGAGAAAAGCTTGAAGAACCATTGGTTGGAGAGACAACCAAAGAACCAACAATTGAGGAGAAACCTGAAGGAACACCTAAGGAACTATCATTTGAAGAGAAACATGACGAACCAACCGTTGAAGAGGAGAAACATGAAAAGGTAACTCTTTCGGAAAAGGTAAGGGTCAAGTATAATAACAAAGTTTATCCATTTTGTTAGTTATGCATGTACTGTGATTCACATGATCTTTTTTTGAAAGGCTAGGTGAAACATTAAATTCTTTTTGCAGGATATGCTAATTGTAGACTCGAACACCAAAACTGGCAGTGAAATTCCATGCAATACCAATAATGATGTTGCTCACTCTCCAGACATCGAGGAAAATCCTGAAGAATCGGCAGTTGAAATAAAAAATGAAGAACCAGTCATTGAAGAGAAACCTGATGTACCAGCAGTTGAGGAGAAACCTGAAGAACCAAAATTTGAGGAGAAATCTGAAGTACCAGCTGAGGAGAAACCTCAAGAACCGGCAACTGAAGAGAAACCTGAAAAACCAGCAGCTATAGAAACAGCTGAAGAACTAGCACTTGAAGGGAAACCTGAAGAACTAACAGTTGAAGATACATCTGAAGGGCTAGTTGTTGAAGAGAAAGATGAAAAACCAGCAATTGAAGAGGAGGAACCTGAAACGGAAGCTCTTCAGGAGAAGGTGACAATTAACACTGTCACAAAGTTTATTCAGCATATTAACTTTATAAGTGCAATGAATTTAAATATGTTTCATCTATTGAAAGACTAAATGGAACTTCAAATTTTCTTGCAGAATTTGCCAATTGTAAACTCAAAGAACACAACAGACAATGCAATTCCATGCAATACCAACAATGACATTGCTGACTATGCATCAGTTGAGGAAAATACTGAAGAACCAGAAGTTGAAGAGATATCTGAAGAATCAGCTATTGAAGAGAAATCTGAAGAATCAAGGGTTTTGGAGAAACCAGAAGAACCACCGGTTGAGAAAATACCTGAACAACCGACAATCGAAGAGAAACCTGAAACACCAACAGTGGGAGAAAAGCTTGAAGAACCATCAGTTGAGGAGACGATCAAAGAACCAAAAATTGAGGAGAAACCTGATAAACAAGTAACTGAAGAAACACCCAAGGAACTAGCATTAGAAGAGATACATAAAGAGCCAGCAATGAAAGAGGAGAAACCTGAAAAGGTAACTCTTTTGGAAAAGGTAAGGGTCAAGTACTATCACAAAGTATATCCATTTTGTTAGTTATGCATGTACAGTGATTCACATGCTCTTCTTTTGAAAGGCTAAGTGAAACATTAAAGTCTTTTTGCAGAATATGCTAATTGTAGACTCGAACACCAAAACTGGCAGTGAAATTCCATGCAATACCAATAATGATGTTGCTCACTCTCCAGACATTGAGGAAAATTCTGAAGAACCGGCAGTTGAAATAAAAAATGAAGAACTAGTCATTGAAGAGAAACCTGATGTACCAGCAGTTGAGGAGAAACCAACATTTGAGGAGAAATCTGAAGTACCAGCTGAGGAGAAACCTCAAGAACCAGAGACTGAAGAGAAACCTCAAGAACCGGCAGCAATAGAAACACCTGAAGAACTAGCACTTGAAGAGAAACCTGAAGAACCAACGGTTGAAGATACATCTGAAGAGCTAGTTGTTGAAGAGAAAGTTGAAAAAACAGCAATTGAAGAGGAGGAACCTGAAATGGAAGCTCTTAAGGAGAAGGTGAGAATTAACTCTCACAAAGTTTATTCAGCATATTAGCTTTATATGTGCAACGCATTTACATGTTTATCTATTGAAAGACTAGATGAAACTTTAAATTTTCTTGCAGAATTTTCCAATTGTAAACTCAAAGAACACAATAGACAATGCAATTCCATGCAATACCAACAATGACATTGCTGACTATGCATCAGTTGAGGAAAAAACTGAAGAAGCAATAGTTGAAGAGATATCTGAAGAATCAGCAATTGAAGAAAAATCTGAAGAATCAAGGGTTTCGGGGAAACCAGAAGAACCAGCGGTTGAGAAAATACCTGAACAACCGACAGTTGAAGAGAAACCTGAAAAACCAACCGTGGGAGAAAAGCTTGAAGTACCATCAGTTGAGGAGACAATCAAAGAACCAAAAATTGAGGAGAAACCTGAAAAACAAGTAATTGAAGAAACACCTAAGGAACTAGCATTTGAAGAGATACATGAAGAACCAGCCATGGAAGAGGAGAAACCTGAAAAGGTAACTCTTTTGGAAAAGGTAAGGGTCAAGCACTATCACAAAGTTTATCCATTTTGTTAGTTATGTATGTACTATGATTCACATCTGCATCTTTATTGAAAGGCTAAGTGAAACATTAAATTCTTTTTGCAGAATATGCTAATTGTAGACTCGAACGAAAAAACTGGCAGTGAAATCCCATGCAATACCAATAATGATGTTGCACACTCTCCAGACAGTGAGGAAAATCCTGAAGAATCGGCAGTTGAAGAAAAAACTGAAGAACCACTCATTGAAGAGAAACCTGGTGTACCAGCTATTAAGGAGAAACCTGAAGAACCAACATTTGAGGAGAAATCTGAAGTACCAGTTGAGGAGAAACCTGAACTAGAGATTACAGAGAAACCTGAAGAACCGGCGACTATAGAAACACCTGAAGAGCTTGCAGGGGAGGAAACACCTGAAGAACTAGCTCTTGAAGAGAAACCTGAAGAACCAACAGTTGAAGACACATCTGAAGAACTAGTTGTTGAAAAGAAAGATGAAAAACCAGCAATTGAAGAGGAAGAACCTGAAACAGAAGCTCTTCAGGAGAAGGTGACAAATAAACACTGTCATAAAAACTATCCATCATATTAGCTTTATATGTGCAACGAATTTACATAAGTTTATCTGTTGAAAGACTAAATGAAACTTAAAATTTTCTTGCATAATTTGCCAATTGTAAACTCAAAGGACAAGACAGACAATGCAATTCCATGCAATACCAACGACATTGCTGACTATGCATCAGTTGAGGAAAAAACTGAAGAGCCAGTAGTTGAAAAAAAACATGAAGAACAAGCAATTGAAGAGAAATCAGAAGAAACAGCAGTTTCAGAGAAGCCAGAAGAACCAGTGGATGAGAAAAAACCTGAACCACCGGCAATTGAAGAGAAACCTAAAGAAACAACAATGGAAGAGAAGCTTGAAGAACCATTGGTTGAGGAGACAATTGAGGAGAAAGCTGCAAAACCAATAACTGAAGAAGCACCTGAAGAACCAAAACGGGAAGAAACACCTAACGAACTATTATTTGAAGAGAAACCAGCACTTGAAGAGGAGACATCCAAAAAGGTGAGGTCAAGCACTGTCACAAAGTTTATCCATCTTATTAGTTATGTATGTGCAATGATTCACATCTGCTTCTTCATTGATAGACTAAGTGAAACATTAAATTCTTTCGCAGAATATGCTAGTTGTAGACTCAAACGACAAAACTGGCAGTGAAACTCCATGCAATACCAATAATGATGTTGCTCACCCTCCACAAGTTGAGGAAAATCTTGAAGAGTCAGTAGTTGAAGAAAAACCTGAAGAACCAACTATTGAAGAGAAACTTGATGTACCAGCGGTTAAGGAGAAACCTGAAGAACCAGTGGTTGAGGAGGAACCTCAAGAACCAGCGGCTGAAGAAACACCTGAAGAGCTAGAAGGGGAGGAAACACCTGAAGAATTAGCACTTGAAGAGAAAACTGAAGAACCAACGGTTGAAAAGACACCTAAAGAACTAATTGTTGAAGAGGAGAAACCTGAAACAGAAGCTCTTCTAGAGAAGGTCAGGATTAAACATTGTCACAAAGTTTATTCATCAAATTAGGCTTTATATGTGCAACGAATTTACATATGTTTATCTATTTAAATACTAAGTAGAACTCTAAATTTCTTGCAGAATTTTCCAATGGAAGACCCAAAGGACAAGATAGATAATGCAATTCCTTGCAATACCAACAATGATATTGCTGACTATGAATCAGTCGAGGAAAAACCTCAAGAACTAGTAGTTGAAAAAGATAATGATGAAACAATGATTGAAGAAAAATCTGAAGTATTGGCTGTTATGGAGAAGCCTGAAGAACCAGCGGTTGAGAAAAAACTTGAAGAACTGGCAGTTGAAGAAGAACGTGAAAAACCAACTGTGGAGGAGAAATTTGAAGAACCATTGGCAGAGGAGAAACTTGAAGAACCAAAGGTTGAAGAGAAACCTGAAAAGACAATAACTGAAGAGACACCCAAAGAATCAACACGGGAAGAAACACCTAATGAACTAGCATGTGAAGAAAAACCTGAAGAGCCAGCAGTTGAAGAGGTGAAACCTGAAGAACCAACAGGTGAAGAGGAGAAACCAGAAAAGGTAACTCTTTTGGATAAGGCAAGGGTCAAGCACTGTCATAAAGTTTATCTGTCCTATTAGTTATGTATGTACAACAATTTACATCTGCTTATCTACTGAAAGACTAAGTGAAACTTTAAATTCTTCTTACAGAATTTGCTAGTTGCAGACTCGAAGGAAAAAACTGACAATAAAATTCCCTGCAATACTAGCAACAATGCTGCTCACTTTCTAGAAGATGAGAAAAACCCTGAAAAACCAGCAGCTGTGGAAAAACCGGTTATTGAAGAGAAACTTGATATACCAGCAATTATGGAGAAACCTGAAGAACCAACAATTGAGGAGAAATCTGAAGAACCAGTTGAGGAGAAACCTAAAGAACCAACTGTTGAAGAGAAACTTGAAGAACCAACAACTAAAGAAACACCTGAAGAGCTAGCAGGGGAGGAAACACCTGAACTACCACTTGAAGAGAAACCTGAAGAACCAATGGTTGAAGAGACCTCTGAAGAGATAGCTGTTGAAGAGAAACATGACAAACCAGCAATTGAAGAGGAGAAACCAGAAATGGAAACTCTCCTAGAGAAGGTGAGGATAAACAATGTCACAAAGTTTATCCATTCTAATAGCTTTATATGTGCAACGAACTCACATATGCCAATCTATTGGAAGATTAAATCGAATTTTTGAACTTCTCTTGCAGAATATGCCAATTGTAGACTCAAAGGACAAGATTGACAGTGAAATTCTAGGCAATTCAAACAACGATGTTGCTTACTATCCAACAGTTGAAGATAAAGCTGAAGTACAGGTAGTTAAAGAAAAACATGAAAAACAAGTGATTGAAGAGAAACGTGAAGAACCAGCGGTTAATGAAAAAACTGATGAACCAGCAGTGACAGAGAAACCTGAAGAACCGGCTGTGGAAAAAAAAACTGAAGAACAAGTTTTCGAGGAGAAACTTGAAGAACCAACAGTTGAAGAGAAATCTGAAGAACCTGTAGTTGAAGAAACACCTGAAGATCTAGCAGATGAAAAGAACCTTGAAAAACTAGTAATCGAAGAGAAACCTGAAAAGGTAACTTTGTTGGAAGAGGTAAGGATCAAGTACAATCACAAGCTTTAACTGTACTATTAGTTATGTATGTGCAACAATTCACATATGTTTATCTATTGGAAGACTAAGTAAAACTTTAAATTTTTCTTGCAGGATATGTCAGCTATAGATTCAAAAGGGAAGACTGACACTGAAACTCCATGCATTACCAACATTGATGTTGCTGACTATCCAGCAGTTGAGGAAAAAACTGAAGAACCAATGGTTGAGGAAAAACATGAGGAACCAATTGTTGAGGATAAACCTGAAGAACCAGTAATAAATGAGAAACTTCAAAAATTGGCAATTGAAGAAACACTTGTAGAGCAAGCAAGAGCGGAAACACCTGAAGACCTAATAGTTGAAGAGAATCCCAACAAACCAGCAGTTGAAGAGACACCGGAAGAACTAGCTATTGAACAGAAATCTGAAAAACAAGCAGTTGAAACGGTGACTCTCTTGGAAAAGGTAATCGAGCACTGTCGCAGAGTTTACCATCCTATTAGCTCTATACATGCAAGGAATTTGCATCTACTTATCTATTAAAAGTCTTAGTGAATCTTTAAATTCTTCTTGTAGAATATGCCAGATACGGACTCAAGTCACTCAACAGACAAGATTAATGGTGAAATTCTGTGCAACGACAACAGTGATGTTTCTGACTATCCAGCTGTTGAGGAAAAACATGAAGAAACAGTAATAGAAAAAAAATATGAGGAACCTGCACTGAAAGAGAAACCTAAAGAACCAGTTGTATCGGAGAAATTCGAAGAACTAATGGTTGAGGAAACACCTGAAAAATTAGTAGTTGAAGAGAAGCTTGACGAACCAGTTGCAGGGGAAGAAACAGTTGATAAACCAGCACGGGAAGAAACACCTGACAAACAAGTAGCTGAAGAGAAACATGAAGAAGTAGTTGTTGAAGAGAAACTAGAGAAAGCAGCAGCTGAAAAGGTAACGCCCCTCGAAAAGGTGAGGATCAAACACTGTCACAAAGTTGTCCATCCTAATAGTTATGTATGTGCAATGAATTCACATCTGCTTATCTATTGAAAAATTAAGTGAAACTTTCTTCTAGCAGAATAAGCATGTTGTGGACTCAAATGATAAGACTGGCAATGAAATTTCATGCAATACCAACAATGATTTTGCTGAAATTGAGGAAAAACCCGAAGATTCAGCAGTTGAAGAGAAACTCAAGGAATCGACAGTTGAAGAGAAACGGGAAGAATTTGACATCGAGGAGAAACCCGAAGAACCAAAAATTGAGGAGAAACTCGAAGAACCAGAGAAACCTGACAAACCAGCAGTTGAAGGGACACCTGAACAACTAGTTGACGAGAAACCTCAAGAAATTTCATGCAATACCATTGAAGTTGAGGAAACGCCTGAAGATTCAGCAGTTGAAGAGAAACCAGTGGAACCGACAGTTGAACAGAAACCAGAAGAACCAGTTGTTAGGGAGAAACTTGAAGAATCAAAAGTTGAGGAGAAACCCAAAGAACCAGCGGTTGAGGAGAAATCCGACGAACCAGTGATTGAAGGGACACTAGAAGAACCTGTGGCGAAAGAAACACCTGAACAACCAATGATTGAAGAGAAACCTCAAGAACCAGAAGTTCAAGAGAAACCAAAAGAACCAACAGTTCAAGAGAAACTTGAAGAACCAACAATTGATGAAAAACCTGAAGAACTAGCAGTTGAAGGAAAACCTGAAGAACCAGCAGTTGAAGTAACACCCAAACCAAAAAGTGAAGAGAAACCCCAAGAATCAGTGATTGAGGAGCAATCTCAAGAACCAGAGGTGAAAGAAACACCTGAAGAACCAGTGGTTAAAGAGACACGTGAAGAGCTAGCAGTTGAAAAGAAACCTGAAGAACTAGCAACTGAAGAACAAGTAGTTGACCAAAAACTTGAGGAACCAACAGTTGAGGTGAAACCTGAAGAAGCTACAGTTGATGAAAAACATGAAGAACCATCAGTTGAGGAGAAACCTGAGGAATCAGCAGTTGAGAACTTTGAAGAACCAACAGTTAATGAGATACCTGAAGAACTAGCAGGTAAAGAGAAACTTGAAGAACCAATAATTGAAGAGAAACCTAAAGAACCACCAATTGAAGAACCCAAAAAACAAAACAGGGAAGAGACAGAAGCTGCCACTGAAAGAATTGATGAATCTGAAACACATAATGTAGAGAAAGAAGAAGCTTTGATTGGAAAACAGGCAGAACGGTTTGTCAAAGAAACAGCACAACCTTGCAAAGAAGTTGAAACTGAGGTATTAAATGTCTGCCTTCTATTAATAGTATGATATTTTTTCATGTGCCTAAACTAGTCATAAATCATAATAAAATCTGTCACTATAATCTTTCATTTGACCAAAAAAAAAAAAACTATCTCTACAAACAGATAAAAGAACTTAAAGATATCAATGCTGGTGATGAGTCAAACAATAATGCCCTACAAAAAGAAGAAACGACTCTAGATGAACTTCTAACATCCGCCAAAGAAGAGATGGCGGCAAATAACTTTGAAGAAAGCAAAGTGGTTTCAGAAATCCCCAATCAAGAGGTTAAGTGACCACACAAGCCTGTTTACAATTCATATACCTAAGCCCAAGGTAAAATAGAAATGCTGCTTTCTCTCTTTCTTCATCACTGGATTGCTCTCTTTTTTTTCTGCAGAATGGTCAGCAAGCCAATCTAACCACAGAAGAGGCTAATGACTCCCATGGAGCAGAGAACGTAACTGAACTTTCTTCAGAAGAAATGAGGGTGGAGGACTGTACTAACAAGGTAAGTGAACAAGAACTTATAATGAATTTGCTGATTAGCATCTACTAAGAATCTACGAGTTTATTGCATGCTAATGAGACAAGAAATTTAATTCTCCAGTGAACGATATTTTCAGAACAACAACTAAGTCACAACTCCAAGTTAGTTAAGGTCACAAATCTCTAGAGGAATATAATTAATTTGAGTCTCCGTTCCCTTCTGCAAAGAGAGGATTGAGGAGATGTTGTTGTGAGAACATTATGTATGGCCAACTGCATGAAACATTTCATATAAGCAGGCAGAGTATAACATAAATGCCGATTGGCAATCTGCTACAAAAAATCACATTTCTGCATTATAAAATTGGAACTAAATTATAACAGTACAGGAAAGAAGTTAAAGAAAAGCTAGCAAAACAGAACTTGATGTTCCCCCCTTTACCGTTACAACCATTACAGAAACATGAATAAAACTTACAGATTATCTCAAGACGAATCACAGCTAGAAGCAGCATATCCACTGCAATAGTGTTTTATTACATCATGCTAGCAGCCTCCAGCAATTTCTCTTATTTCCTCACCCTTTCAGTTATTTCTGGATACCAACCAAATCATGAATGGCTCATTCAACAGGTTGAAAGCTCTGATTTCGGGTTCCAAAATCATAATAAGTACACCCCAGATGCAGATAAGCTTGAGCTACAAAACAGAGAAATAGATATTAGCTATAGTCTCGATACTCCGGTTGAAAAAGAAACAAATGGAAGAAACAGTGAAAAGATATCTGAATCCACAGAAGAACTTATCCATCAGACATCTGAAATTTCTGAAGAAAACAAAGCAGCAGTAGATACAGACACCAATACGTTACAAAGCTGTGCAGATCCACATGAACAACTGAAGCATCAGTTAGCTGAGCTACGCGAAGAGAAACAGGCAGGAGGAATAGCAGACACCAATACTTTACAAAGGTCTGCAGACCATGAGGAGCCTTACAGTGTACCTGCTCAGGAGGTAAAAATTGTAATTAAGATTTTGCACCATGCATCATTTGATTAAATGTATATTTTTCCTTTTTCTCCTGTATTTCTTAAAAGATTGCTAACGTTGACTGATCAAATTCCAGATCATTGACAAATCAGAAACAGAGGATATTTCTTGTGCGGATTGCCTTGAAGAAGAAAATAGCCTCAGAACCAACCAAGATAAGTTAAAAGAGGGAGAAAATTCAGAAGTGAAGACAGATGAAAATTTTGACAAGGGAGATGAATTCCAAAGCATAATGGTTAGAAATTGGAATGCAGTTATCATACATCTTACTTAAGAAAGTGTGAAAGTTGCCTATTCAGAAAATTGTTCTTTCTGTAGATGTTGAAAGGAGTTGAAAAGGATGATTACAAGCAGCATATAAAACACAACACATGTGCAGTCATGGATACAGAAGAGAAGAATGAAGATTCACCTGCTGGAGAACAAACATCCGAAAAGCTAGAAGAACTGGAGAAAATTGATATTGATGACAATAACAATATTAATCATCAAAGTACTGAGACAAACCTCCCAGAAGAGGCCACAGAATCAAAGAGTGAATGTGTTACGATGGAAATCAAGACTCCAATCAAAGAGGTCTGATTAAATTGCACACTTATATTCCATCTTAATATTTTATCAGCATGATTTGATCCGTTTTACTCCCTCCTGTCTAGGAAAGAGGTTGCTGATAGAAAATGATTGAACTCAAACTGCATGAAATATTCAGCACATAGGTTAATTACATACAGGTCCAGCTGAAAATGATTTAACGAGAGGAAACAAAGTATTGATGTAAATTACAAACTTGAATTATATTAGTAAATTGTTTGCAGGATACACACCACCTTGATATACACAGACATTATATGACAGTTCATAAAACTACTCTAGAAAAGATCACTAAGATGAAATCCCTTTCAGCCACAGCTGGCTAAGGAAAAGTCTACTGGAGACTACCAATGTTCGTAGGTGTCAAAGATGGAAAAAACAAAGATAAAAAAATAGAAGCAAAAAACATTATTCCAATCTTTTCTTACTCCCCCCTGCCTCCCCTGTTTACTCACGCATCTGACGGCGAATTATGAATTCATAGGAGGAACAAGAAGAAGATTTAAGAGAGACCACCAGCGAAGATTCCTCAAACAACAACACAACACAGGTGCAAAAAGAGGAGGAAACAACAATAAGTGAACCCGAAAGAGTAAGTTTGGAACCTTTTGGATCAGAACGAAAAACAGCAGCAAGTTCCGGAGAGATGATAACATGCAACGAAACAAACAAAATACATGAAGTAAGAGTTGAAAATGCTCCAGGTGCCCAAGTAGGACGTGTACCAGAGGAAAAGACAAGGGGCGAACAGGAAAAAGTAACCGAACATTTCACATCATTGAAATCTGTTACGGTTTCGGAAAAGGAGATAGCGATGGATAACATGGTGAGCAATGAGAGCAATACAACTAAGCAGATACACGAGCAAGCAGCATATCCTCTACTTACATTGGAAAGGGAGGAAACTATTCCAACAAGCAGCACTGATGCCAATGGTACTCCCAAAGACAGCATTACCCCACATATGGAACTGGGTGCAGAGGCCAAAAATATCCAGTACATGCAGGAAAAATGCAAAACTTCTGAAACAGAACAACATCAGGAAAATTATGAAAACAAGAAAGAAGTTGAATGTGATTCAAAAGAAGTACCAGAGGAATCCATATCGAGAGAGACACAAGCTAAGGCCGCACTATCTGACCTTGTGCATGTATCAACAAAAGAGACATCAAAAATTGAGGAAGACTTTGCTGAAGAAAGAGAAGGCAACGACAGAGAAGAGGAAGGAATTCAAAAAAAAAGAGAAGTGTCAAGTTCTGAAGATCCAGTGATCGTAGAAATCTCCAGAGATGCTGATATCAAAGTTCCTCCCAAAAAACATCAGAACATATTGTCAGGAGTCGGATCAAAAGTCAAGCACTCAATTGCAAAGGTGAAGAAAGCCATCACTGGTAAGTCCTCTCAGACCAAGCCATCATCACCAAAGTAAGGCGGAGAAAAAAGATCAAAACTTCACATTATTCGAAGTTGTAAGTACTCAAGAAAAACAAAGTGAAAAGCTTTTCAGCTACTCTAGTTTTTAATAAAGTAGAAAAGTTTGTTCAGAATGTGTAATCTTATTGTATTAGGAGTTCCATAATTATTGGATACATGCTAGCAACTTCTCAGCGACAACTCAATAACATCAACCAGTTCCACCACATACTAAGGACCCTTATTGTAGTATCAGTATGTCCCCACCAAAAGCATATCTATAATTTATTTTACATGACCCACCATTAACATTGAGAAGGAAGACTTGAAATGGGTTATCCAAGCAAGACAACTTTCCAAGTAGTTTCCCCTAGCAAGACAACTTCCCAAGTAGTTTCTCCTAGCAAGACAACTTTCCAAGTCGGCTCTGTCGTTGTCAAAAACTATCCATAGACATTATATAACTTCCTCATATTAACTACTACTTTAAAAGGCGATATTGTATTTTCACTATACAGTGAACTATGCATTAATAGTGACAAATGCCACCTACCACTACCTTGTGGAGGTAGAGAGGCTGTTTCTGGATGACCCTCAGCTCAAGTTCAGCAAATCCAAGTAGAAAGAAGAAGGAGACCGCGAAGAAAATATAGCAGATAACAAGGAAACAGAGCAAAGTCAGAAAAAACACGATGAATGGAAATTTAATTCTAAAATCTCATAGACCCACCTGAGGTGCTGTGTCAAGCAACAGTTTTTCAGCTCAAGAGAGAACATGTTAAATTGCTTTTTTGAGTTAAACCGGAGAGAGTAATAAGAACAAGAAAAAAAGTAGAAGGTTGTGTAGTTTCACCAAAAGGGTGATTTAGTGACAAAAAATAGAACTTTGCAACAAAAAAAAGGGTGATAGGTAGTTTCATGCCTATCCTAATGGAGTTGACCAACTAAAACTCAAAAGAACTTTACCTTCAAAACCTTACGATATCCATTTGGCCTCCCATGAGTTTTAGTAACAATTTCCAACAAAGAAACGTCAGCAGTAGAGCTCAGAGCCTCTCCTTTAAGGCCAAAGCTTACAAAGAAAGTATGCATATCATCTGAATGGCGGTATTTTGATGTAGCTGGTGTAAAGCAAGCATACAAAACCATAGATAAAATGACCAGACAAAGGAATCATAACAGAAGATGAAAGAAACATACACATACTGTTTCCATAATCTGGGCAATAAGTACCTAAGCACCAATATGTATGTTCCAACTCAACTCCAGCTAGAATAAATAATCAAAACATACATACATTAGTGTTCAACACAAAATATATTTCATCTCCCCTTTTTTTGTGTTTTGGGGAGGCGGCAGAAGTATAGAAAGTATTTTATTGCAAATGAAGCACCAGGAAAGAAATGTACATGAACATCTTTATTTTGTGTTGCAGCCATACAAGTTTTCCCAATTACAAGTAAAACCACAAAATAATACATAAAAGATCATCTGTAAAAAGATACTGATGAACACACTTAAAAGAATAACAAACATAAAAAGAACAGTCCCATGAGTAGGTAAATCTCAGGGAAAAACAAATTCCTGTTTTTCAGTTAAGCAGGGGAAAACAGGGGAAACGAATTCTTGAATATGCTTAACATATTCTGCTAGGATGACAACATAACTTACTTTTTTCAACTTCTTTCAAAAGACTTCTTGAATTTCCTTTATATGCTACATAAAAATAAATTCTTAAAATTACGATTTCTTAAATATGCATTTAAGAATACCAATGTCACTTCAAAATTCAACATGCATTATCGAGTTCTTGAATTCCAGCATGCAAGAATTCAACATATCGAGTTCTTGAATTCCGACATGCAAGAATTCAACATATCGAGTTCTTGAATTCCGACATGCAAGAATTCAACATATCGAGTTCTTGAATTCCGACATGCAAGAATTCAACATATCGAGTTCTTGAATTCCGACATGCAAGAATTCAACATATCGAGTTCTTGAATTCCGACATGCAAGAATTCAACATATCGAGTTCTTGAATTCCGACATGCAAGAATTCAACATATCGAGTTCTTGAATTCCGACATGCAAGAATTCAACATATCGAGTTCTTGAATTCCGACATGCAAGAATTCAACATATCGAGTTCTTGAATTCCGACATGCAAGAATTCAACATATCGAGTTCTTGAATTCCGACATGCAAGAATTCAACATATCGAGTTCTTGAATTCCGGCATGCAAGAATTCAACATATCGAGTTCTTGAATTCCGACATGCAAGAATTCAACATATCGAGTTCTTGAATTCCAACATGCAAGAATTCAACATATCGAGTTCTTGAATTCCAACATGCAAGAATTCAACATATCGAGTTCTTGAATTTTCCTTCTTATTTTTTAATGGATGGAAGATAATGGGAAGAGTAGTAGAAAACCGAGAAAAATGATTTAGGGTTTAGGGTTTTGATCGGACATCTTCCAATTTCGATTTCTCGTATTTTCCTTCTTTCTTTTTCTGTATGAATGGAAGAATACAAGATAATGGAAAGAGCAAAGAATTCAATTATCGATTTATCATTCTTTCTTTTTCTGAATGAAGGGAAGCGGTAGAGTATGAATACAGGCGGTCGGTGTATATGGCGGTGGTGAGGTCTAATATGCGCAGGTGGTAATATGTGGGTGTTAAGGTGGTGAGGTCTAATATGCGCATGTGGTATGTGGGTGTTACTTAGGGGTCGTTTGGTAGAGTGTATTATGAAAAATAACGCATGCATTAGCATTGTGTATTACTAGTACTTTGTTTGGTACTCTTTTTCAACCTATGTATAGTGTATTAAGGTGTGTATTGTTAATACCATGGATTTCTAGGTATTGACATCAAACCAAACAATGTATAAGAAATAATGCAAGCATAACTAATGCATGCATTACTAATACATCATATTCAGCATTATTCTTATACACTCTGCCAAACGACCCCTTATAGTTTTCCCACTGGTTAATACACGCGGGAATGAAACCAAAAAATAATAATAGATAAAACACGCGCAAAAAAGAATCTATTTAATACAAAATATATTACTTGCTATTTTTAAAAATATATATATTCTATATTTATTTTATTAATTAATAAGAAAAGTCTATTTTTATTTTAACTTTTGACTCAATTGTTTTCTTAGTGCAAATTTTGGAATATGAAAAGATAATTACAGCTATTTTTAAATTGATATACTCCAAAATCTTCTCATGTAGAACTGATATAATCTTCGTTACAAAAATGGCTCATATATACCTCTATCGTTATAAAAATGATTCATAATTGGAAAAAGAGTCTGAAAAATACTTCAACTTTAGCAGAAATTGTTGTTCCGATGCCAAACTTTATGGAGGACCTTTTACCCCTAGACTATTTTAAAGGTATATATGTGCCCACGTGGACACGTTACTATTTATAAAGATGCAATATTTATGATGTCCATGTGGGCACATATATACATTTAAAATACACTATTAAATAGTGCAGGATGGTAAAAGATCATTTCCAAAATTTAGTATTATTATAGCAATTTCGATCAAAGTTTGGATATATTTCTAACTTTTTTTCCTATGAAATATGAACGGATTGAATTATCCCTTTTTTTGTTGACCTATTTCAACTCCACCCAAATTTGACTTAACCCGTCCATTAGTCACCACTATATTTATATTAGGACATAAAGAACTGTTATGATAATGATATCATAAAATAGGTTTTTTTTGTTATGTCATTTAATTGTTGAGATGATTAAATTTGTATGTCTCGATCTCTAACTCTCTCGTTTTTTATCCATTAAGTAACAGTAGAGATACTTTTGGACCAAATTATTGATGATAAGAACAGTTTTAGACTAAATTATTTACTTCTAAATATTTTGAACTCTTTTTTTAATATATAAAGAGATATTATTTTAAAGAAAGTTGAAGAAAATTCAACCGATAATGGTGAAATTGAGTTGTTTTAGTGGAGAAATCTCTATCAACTCTAAATTAGGGTTATGAAATTATTTGTTTGAAATAAAACTCCTTGAATTTCTTCATTTTATCCTCTCTTTTTTCTAACAGTTAATAATAGAATTGAGACGTTTCAAAATAAATCACTCATTTTTTTAAGAAGAGGTTTTAAAATTATTTGGTTTAAAGCTGGACCCACCTCCATTTTGTTTAAAATCTCATTCTTATTTTTGGTGTTGAAGAATATTTCAAAAAAATTAATTTCACAAAGTAATTTCTAAGTATTTGAAAAGGATAGTAATGGTGATTCCAAATGAATATGATAGTGGTGAGGAAAAAAGTGAGGTGATTGAAGATAAGAGAGATGATAAGGGTAGATGGTGGTGACAATGATAGCGATTGCGGCTAAAATGGTGGTGATGTTGGAAGAAGGTAAGATTAAGAAAGAAGAAGATGAAATAGATTTTTTTTTAAAAAGGAAAAATGCTCTCACGTGTTGAATATCTATGTAATGCACTTTTCATGCCATGAACAATGTAATGCTTAATAGGTACTCATTATGAATAATGTAAATGTTTAATAAGTACATGCTTTAATTTAGATATTCATTTGAAATGTGAGGACAAATGTAATTAGTGATCAATGAATTAAGCATAAAAAAATTAATCCACAAGAATTAATCCACAGTAGTTCATAGTACCAAACACTAGTAGGAGAACAATACCATTAGCTACAAGGTTATAACAAAAGTCAACAGTTCTTTACTTATCCAAGTCAAATTCCAACCACATGCCAAAGAGGGGGAGGATTGAATACTAGTGCAAATTAACCAATCTCATATGACTCAAATAGTGGATTCATGACTCATCTAACAAAGATGGATTTCCCATGACGAAGGATAAAAAGTATGACCCCAAACAAATATATTTATGGCACAACATACCAAAAGAGACCCTACCCAAAACTACAAATCAAAATTCAAAATGGACACTTTGCCAAAAAATATGCGAATCATCTCTTATGTTGTTAGCCTTTATCTTCTTGGAGTGTTAACAAAAAGAAATGTTTTCAGGAATTCGCACAAAAATAGGTAAACTAAATTTTTTATTCTCATGGCATCTCCAATCCTAAACTCAATTTTACGCTCCAAATATAGAGTTTTCTATTTTTTCAAACAACCAACTCCAGTCCAATTTTTTATTCTACTTTCTAAAAAGAATATTTTTCTCTCTT